GGAGGGGGGCGTGGGGGGCTACTCCCGAAGTGCTGATAGTTGGGCGCGCTCCGGCTGAGTTGCTAGGAAACCGCCCCACGCTACGGAGCGCCGGCCCCGGCAGCCTGCAGGGAGGCTGCAGCTCTCAGCAACAGCAAAAGCTCGGAGCAGCGTGGGCGGGACATTAGTGAGGCATGAAGTCACCGCGGCCCACACTCGCTCTTTGTTTTGCTCACTCCAGCTCTTTTTCTCCCCCTTGGCTCTGATGGTTGCCATTCCCACAGTTCGCAAGGATTCTTGTTGCGTAGCCGCGCAACAGGAATCGCACGCTCTGTTCTCTTTCCCTCTCCTCCCGGAGTTCCTGCACCCCAGCGCTCGCCTACCGGGTGTAGAGACTCGCTCAGCACGAGTGGCAGCTGCGCGCAAGCCCCAGCCTCTCAGCCGGGCTCTGCGCACTCCTTTGTTTGGAGATACTCACTGCTCGGCGGCTGCCGCATGCAAAGTGGAGTCCCGGAGCCTCACCCCACCCCCAACACCCTCTGTTCAGCGGGTGCGCACTGACTACTTTGCCTGCAGAGTTAGGAGCTCATCCTTTGCCCCACCCCAAGACTGTCCTGCGTCTCCCCATCCCGTGGAGAGTTGGGCCGGTCTGCAGAAGCTGTACTCGAAGCCGCTGGCCGAAATTTCTCGCGGCTCTTCCACTCGGATCATCAACCCTGGGCTGGACAGCCCTTGTTTTTTCTAGGGTCTGGTGGTGGCTCTGGGCTTTTGCTATAACATGGGTCTTTTGACGTTAAGTGTTACCTTCCCAGTAAACGGAACAAAGAAATTACAAAGGCCTGCGAAACAGGAGAGAGAAGCTAGGGAAGGAGATGGGAGGGCATTTCTGTCTGCTTGCAGATCAGAAATTTAGGTGCTTGCAGGGAAGGGGTGTTTTGCTGGGCAATGGTCAGGGAATCCGGGTCCTGTCAGTACCAGGCTAGGCCGAGGGAGAAAACCCAGTCCTCCGGATCAAAAAAAACAAGGCGCTGTTTCCAATCAGACACAGGGTGATGCTTCTCTTCTGCCTCTAGGGGCAGGAGTGGTTTGCCCTGGTAAAATCTGGCCTCTCCTTTCCCACTAGCTGCGTGCTGACCTCTTGCTTAGAGCAGCCTCCTCTTACAGGCATCAGATCCGTCCAGCCAGGTCAAGGTGAAATATGTGGGAGTTTCCCTCCTTACTTGCTTGATAGTTTCCATCTCTGTATTTGGAGTAAAAAAACAAGTAGGAGGCTTTCTCTGTTTTTTTTTCTTTCTGTTTTCTATTTGTTAACTGAGTGAATGGAAAGTACCTGATTAATAAACCACAACATTGAAAACTCCCCCTTTTCAGGTGTGGAGTGCACGCTGAAGCCCACAGAATTAGCTAAGCAAACCAGGAACCCAGCTGGAAAATTACAAGTGCCTTGAATCTACAAAGCAGGTTTCTTTCAGAGACCAAATGAATGATCCAAACCTGAAAAACTGGTACTTATAAACATAATTCCACTATAGACAATGTACTCTATGTACAATGAAATCCAGCTCAGCTTCATTATTTATTTTCTTTCCTTAGTTCCAAGTTTGAGCAACTATAGTTTTGATTTTCGTGGTCTTCAAGGACCACTTCGTGGCCTGAGAAGTGGCTGGATGGGGCTGAGGATTTGAAGTCTGAACACAAAATGAACATATTCAAACCCTAATTAGTATTCTTCAGTGGGGTAGCATGTATATTTTCCCGAGATTATTTCACAGTCCAAAGAAAAGCAGCCACCCTTGAGACAGTGCAGTGCTATAATAAAGAAAAAAAGTCAACCCATAATACCTATAAGGATGTGCGTGTAAGTGCATTTTATGTTGTAAAGAAAGACTTCCACATTTTATTTTACGAAGCCCAGTCAAAAATATGTCAGGATGCCACTTTTATGGAGTTGTTGAAGAGTAAGCACAGTGCCTTTTATCACCACTTCCTAGTTGCAAAGAGGTTACAATTGTGGTTATCAAAATAAAATAAGACAGAATATCCCAGTTGTGAGACTGTGATCCTTGTAAGTTATTTACAAACTAGTTATCTGTACATCTTGAGCTATAAAGATAAAAGTGAATTCTCTCAAGCCCTGCAAATCATCTGTAGGGTTTTCTTACAGTAAATGTAACTAGTGGCCTAGGAACAAAAAGTTTCCGTGTTTCCTATAAATGTCATTGGTCACCACAACTCGTTCTTTTTCCTGTAAGGAAATGTACAGCATGTTGTGAAGAAATGTGGTATTATCTTCCTCATATTACCTGAATTCAAACAGAGAAAAAATGTTCCTGATTAATTCCTGTCTTTATCAAGTTCTCCTGCTGTGCTTTGAAATTTCTGACAGCTAATTTTTTATCATTTGTGGTAATGAGAGCAAATGAAATTCACAGATAGTGTAAAAGTAGTAACATTTTAGCTATTCATTCCAGCCTTCGTATCATCAGATTCTTTTAGTTGCTAAGTAAGTCATAAAATTAGATGAATTAAGTTTCTTTCCTACTTCTTTAACCTTGACTTCTCACTAACTCAGTTTATGGTGAGAATGAATAAGCTATAGAAAGATCGCAGGAATGAGAGAGACATCTGGGAGATTGCTCCTTTTCATGTGTATCCAGCCTTTTAACTAGATTTTGTCCAAATTACTGACCTCATAATTACAGTTAAAACTATATTCACATTTTAATATTACAGATGCTCCTCAATTTATGCTAGAGTTATGTCCCAATAAATCATCGTAAGTTGAAAATACCATGTCAAAAATGCATTTCACATGCCTAACCCCCTGAACATCATAGCTTAGCCTACCCTATTTTAAGCATGCACGGAACACTTACAGTAGCCTACAGTTGGGCAAAATCACCTAACGCAATGAATACACTGTAGAGTATCAGTTGTTTACCCTTTTGGTCACGTGGCTTATTTCAAGCTATGGCTAGCTGCTGCCCAGCATGATGAGAGGGTATCGTACTGCGTATCGCTAGCCAAGGAAAGATCAAAATTCGATGTATGGTTCCTACTGATTTCATATTGCTCTTGCACCATTGTAAAATTAAAGAATTGTAAGTCATACCATTGTAAATTGGGACCATCTGTACCAGAAGTTGCTATCAGAGATATTCAATAAGTTTTAACAGATGTTCACAAGCTGTCTATAAGCTTGCTTCATCAACAGCTCTTACAGATGATACAGCCCAGACAGTCGGATGTATTATTGTGACCATGACTTCAAGCTTCTTCCAATGATAAAGAACATAAGCCACTGAAAGTTACTTTTCACTGAAATATTATATAAATTAGTGTTACTCATACTCTGGACTGTACACTGCCTTGTACATAATCACCTGTAGGGTGATTCCTTAGTTCTGTTCCAGGAGATCCTGACTTTGCGGATCTGGTGTGGTGCCCAGAGATATGCATTATTACAAGTGTCTCAAATGGTTCTTACGCACTGAGGTTTAAGAACCCCTACTATAATGGATGAAGACAGAGATTCCTCAAAGGCCTCATGTGTGATTATTGACAAACTCCAGTATCAGGTGCAAAGTCAAAGAAAAATGAACTGCTGGATCCAGTGTCTGAGATGTTCATGTTTTAGGCTACCAGATTTCCATAATTAAGTTTGGAGAAAAATGCTGGGTTAAAGTTAAATTAAATTCTTTACTGGAGGATTTTCCAGAAACTTAAACAGGCCAACATTCAATTGGATTCTCCAAAGGAAGATTCCTTTATTTGGGGAACATTTTACAGACTAATTTTCTATAAGGCACACTGGTGAGACTTAATCCTACTTTACAAATGTGGAAACTAAGAACAAGGTTGGTGAGGAGACTGACCTCACTTCAGGAGAATTACTGAGCAGGTACAAATCAAAGCTCTGATTCTTCTCGACCACCTCATATCATGATTACTTTTGGTTTCAAGTAAGAGAGTCAGACTGTGGCTGCCTTAACTAAAAAAGGAAATTACTGGAAGGAGATTGGGAGCTTACAGAATCAGATTGAATAGGTCAGGGTTGAATAGGCCAGAAACCAAGTAGCAGTAAGTGGCCAGGTAATGAGAATACTTTCTAATCATCCCTCCATTTATGGACCACTTGTTCAAGATTCAGAATCCTGGTTGGCAATGTCTAATTTTCAGAACTTTAGTCGCATATCAGTCCTCTGGCTTTCTGAGGGTGAAGGGTGGGGGGGAGGAGCTCTTGCCTTTGGCTTTCTCAGTGGAAAGTCTAATACTGTTTCCCAACAAGA